TTGTATTGTAGGGATGCAGATATAAATTAATAAAAATCAATGTTTTTTGGTAGGTTTTTTTCTCGATGGTAGGATGGTAGGCCTCTAAATTTTGGTAGGTTTCTTTGCTCATAAAACAGAAAACATCTCTGGTTTGTTGTAGTGTGTCACTTTGTCAGCACTGAGAGAATTGGGACAATATCAGTTTTACCCTCATTCTGCTTCTTGGGTGGGTCCAACTGTTTGCCAAATACTTTAAAAAACTTGTTGCTTATTGGCATAGGCAGAATTTCACCAATTACCTTCGGCGATTCTCTGAACTTCGTATACGCTAAAAAAAGTTATATCCACTGGGTATCTAAAGGGACATCAAATGATTGAATTGATGGACGTGAAGGCAGGTTTATGGATCAGATATTTTTCTTTGAAATGCAGTGGCGAATCGATAATAGATTCAACAATGACAAGGCTGTTAAAATATTTTAAATGGCACTAGAAGAGTGATTCAAATGCATGTTACAAATGTACGTGTTTACAGAATATGTTATTTTTTATCATACATGGCCGGCGAAAATCCTCGGACTGAACCCTCCGCGAGGGTGCCGGCTGGAAATGGGCACTACAGAGCAATCCCGTGCGATGTCGGTAGGGTGTCCAGCTAAGATCAGGGATCAGTGCTGTGTGCTTATGCGTTTTCATCGCTATGCCATACGGAAATGGTCTTTGATCGTGGTCTGGAGGTAGGGGCTGGATCAAGGCGTTACGCGTACCGTACTGAGGATCAGCCTGGCTGGGAGCCCCTAAATAGCCCAGTCGCTAACGGAGCCCTCTGGGAACCAGGCCGCACCCGGTTGCATTCGATGGCCTTACCCTGGGTACTGCGGATCTCTGCCCGGGGCCGACGAACCCTTTCTCCGCGACTCGTGGGAATATGAGCGATTTAAAAAATAAACTAAAATCAACAACAACGGAAATTGAGACCGGCACTCATAAAAAGTCGGAAGGGCAGTTGCCCAGACACCATGGGGCCCATGCGATGCAGGGTCCCTCTACTAGCCACGACGTGGCCAACACTAGTGGGGTACGTAAGCCTCTGGCGATGCCGGGGTCAGGCGTATCCACAAAAGCGGAAAGGAAGAGTGTGGGGGAACCGAAACGGGATTTTCCCGGCACCAGTGAAGGCAAACCTGGCTTGCAGCTTGCAGCCCCAGAGGGCGCCAGAGCTGATGCGCGGGCCCCGCCTCCCCCCTACTCCTACTGCATTCACAAGGCCTGATGACAGGCCACCACCAAGCGCAGCCATTGCTAAGCACAGGAAGGCTGCCATGAGGATCTTGAAGAGATCCGCATTAACCCCGGACCTATGTAGCAGGGCGCTGCCCTGTCACGTGGAAGAGATCCGGTCGGAGATAGCGTGGGCAATGACGATAGTGCCCGACTATCAGCTGCCGGTGCTCGGAGAGCCACCAGCTGCGGAAAAGCGCAATAGATCGATAGAGGTTGCGCAAAACAAGTCGAAGAGAGCCAGGACGCAAGGCCTCACCTTTGCTGAGGTGGCCAAAAATCGGATCCTCCTGGGTGTGCTCGATGAGAACCAGGAAGACGAATTGGCTCTGAGAGCTCATTGGAAATGGGTTAAAGCGGAATTGGCGAACATCTGCGTTAGCGTGCTTCGGGAGCACCCCGGACCACCTCCGATATGCCGGGACGCAGGTTGGTTCCAAGGCAACGTCAAGATCGTCGCGTGCGACGATGAAAGGTCTGCGGGCATGTACAAGAAGGCGATGGCCATACTGGGAGAGGTCTACCCCGGAGCGATGCTACGGGCTGTGGACTTTAAGGACATCCCATCCAGGCCTAGAGCAAGGGCATGGATACCGGCCAAACCGACCGAACCAGAAAGAGTGCTTGAGATTACAAGGCTCTTTAATCCCGAGTTACCCTCTCACAATTGGAAGGTGGTGCGGCTAGAGCATAGCACAAAGGCGACTCGTCAGGCGGTCCTTTTGCTAAATAAGGAGTCGTTGCCACTCCTCGAAAAGACTGGGGGCGTCATCAATTACGGTTTCGACACCGTAAAGATAAGGGTGTACACGAACGACGTGAACGCAGCAAGAGGCAACGAAGTCCAGCTCTCCAAGGGGGCAGCAGACATCGCCCTCATCCAGGAGCCTTGGGTGATAGGGCATAGAATATGCGGGCTGAAGTCGGCAGAGCATACTTTGATAAGTGGAGCTACCATAGGTAAACCAAGGGCCTGCATCCTTGTAAGTACCAAACTAAAAATATTGTTTCTTCCTCAGTTCAGTGACGAGGACACCACCACCATCAGTCTGGAGGCGAACGGACGACAAATAAGGCTTGCCTCGATGTATCTGGCACATGACAGGCCTGTTCCAACCCTACCGGTCGAACATTTAGTGGAGCGCTGGGACGGGGCCCTGATTCTAGGAGGTGATGCAAATGCACACCATAGCACATGGGGAAGTGGAGACATCAATGAACGGGGTGAGTCACTCTTTGAATTCATACTAAAATCTAACTTAGTTATAAGCAATAGGGGTAGCGAGCCTACCTTCATAACGAAGAGCAGAAGAGAGGTCCTGGATGTTACCCTCGTCTCAGAAGATGCGGAGGTCATGATCAGGAACTGGAGGGTGCTTGATGAGCATTCCTTCTCTGATCATCGCTTCATCTAATTCGATTTAGATGGGGTCCCGTCCAAGGTACCTGCCAAAAGAAATCTAAGGAAAGCCGACTGGCATAAGTACAGAAAAGAGCTTGACAAGCGGCTCTCAAGAACCACACTAGCAATTCCAGGAAACTCTAGGGACCTAGATAGGCTGGCAAATCGCTTTACTGCGGCATGTGGCAAGGCTCTGGATCAGGCCTGCCCCATGGTAAAGCCGAGAGGCAAAAAGAAACCACCTTGGTGGAGTACAGAGATTGACGAGGCCCGCAAAAATTGTCGTAGAGCCTTGAATCTCGCAAAATCCTCGGGAGGCGATATGCAATGGGAAATCTATAAGTTAAACTTGAAAGATTACAAGAAACTACTAAGGAAGAGCAAGAGATCCTCATGGAGGAACTTTTGCAGTGGTATGGAATCCGTATCAGAAGGTTCTAGGCTCAGGAAGGTTCTCTCTAGTTCACCTCGTATCGCCCCGGGATGCTTGCTAAGATCCGACGGAGCGTGGACGGAAACTGGGGAGGAATCCCTGGACCATCTTCTGAGCACGCACTTTCCAGGCGCCACCGAGCAGCCATTGAACGGGCCAATAAGAAATAGAGGTCAACCGGTTACGGTAGACCTCATCACCAAAGAAAAACTAATGTGGGCAATAGGGTCCTTCAAGCCTTACAAATCTGCGGGTCCAGATGGTGTTACACCGATTCAGCTGCAGCAATCTATGGAGCTAAGCTCAAAATGGCTGTATGCTACTTTTAAGGGAGTCCTCACTCTCAACTACATTCCGGAGACCTGGCAAAGGTCAAAGGTTGTCTTCATTCCTAAAGGGGGAAGAACATCCCATACTAGCGCCAAGGATTTTAGACCTATCAGTCTATCATCTTTCCAGCTCAAGATAATGGAGCGACTGATTGAATCCTTTCTTAGGGAATCGGTTGCAGACAAGCTTATGGCTTCGCAGCATGCCTATATGAAGGGGAAGTCCACCGAAACAGCGCTACACGAAATCGTGTCGCATATTGAGAAATCCCTTGCGATAAAGGAATACACCTTGATAGCATTCTTAGACATTGAGGGTGCTTTCAACAACATCACACCTGAAGCAATCACATCAGCTCTAACTGGTCTGGACATCGACTCACGGCTGGTGTCGCTTATACGACAGCTGCTAGTTGGCAGGGTCGTGCGGGCGGAACTGGCGGGCGTGTCGCTGGACAGATACGTTTGCAGGGGAACCCCGCAGGGTGGGGTCCTCTCCCCCCTTCTATGGGTCATGGCGATTAATGAATTATTGCAGACCCTGGAAGGGGGGGAGGCTCCAAGGTCATAGCGTATGCTGACGACCTTGCGGTGGTTGTGAGTGGAAAATTTCCACAAACTCTTTGTGACATTATGCAGGACAGACTAAGGTTAATCGAGAGATGGACCAAGGAGAAAGGTCTGGGTGTTAACCCAGAAAAAACGGACCTGGTGCTCTTTACCAGGAAGTACAAAATCCCCTCACTTCAGCTCCCTGCCATAGGCAATAAGATTCTGAAGCTAGGGGAGTCTTGGACAAAAAGCTTAACTGGGCGCAAAATATACAAGAGCGTGTTAAAAAAGCGACGGTAGCCCTCTACAGCTGCAAGGGGGCGATTGGGCATAGCTGGGGGCTGTCCCCTAGCATCATGTATTGGTTATACACGGTAGTTGTTAGGCCGATTCTATTATATGAGGTCTTGGTATGGTGGCCAAGTCTCAACAGGAAATCTAAAACTGAAGCACTCCAAAAGGTGCAAAGAACTGCGATGCTCTGCATCTGTGGGGCCCTGCGCACAACTCCATCGGAGGCTATGTGCGTGCTCCTCGATATTTTACCAATTGAAATTGTTGGAAAGCAATCAGCCGCCTTGAGGTTGAGGGAACTACCAGGCTGGAGAGACACTCAGGAAGGCCACACCGCAATCTTAAAGGACGTAAATATACCGGACACGGATTACTGTGCACCAAGGTTGAACTTCACAAAGAGGTATAGGATTTCCATTCCAGATAGAAAATTCTGGTCAGGAGGGGCTCCCGATGACAATGGATCACTCCACCTCTACACCGATGGCTCTAAGCTAGACGGCAAGGTAGGAGGGGGGGTCTTCTCAGCCCGACTGGGGCTGGAAATATGTTTTTGCTTACCCAACCACTGCAGCGTCTTTCAAGCTGAGGTCGCTGCCATACAGGAAGCGGTTGAACACCTACGTACAAGAGAAGTCATTTATAACGATATCTTCATCTACTCAGACAGTCAGGCCGCACTCAAAGCGCTCGACTCGGTCACATGCAGTTCAAAAACCGTAGCGGACTGTCGCAGATCTCTAAACGAGATGGCTGAGCAGTCTGCACTTCACTTGGTATGGGTTCCGGGGCACCGGAACATACCAGGCAACGAAAAGGCGGACGAACTTGCAAGAGAGGGCACATCCGCTCCACTTTCGCAGGCCTGGAAGGGATTAGGCATGCCGCTCGCTACCTGCAAGCTCATTCTAAGGGATCTGTCTCTTAAACTAGCAAGGGACAGGTGGGATAGCCTCACCACTTGCAACAACACGAAGCTTACATGGCCTAAATGGGACAAAAAGCGGTCGAAGGATCTCCTCATGCTGAGCAAAGGAGACCTAGCCGCAGCTGTGGGTCTGCTAACAGGCCATGTTGCTATCGGGGGGCACGCGGAGAGGTTAGGGATCCCCCATAACGACTTCTGCAGAAGCTGCAGAAATGAAGAAGAGCCAGAAACCTTGCGGCACCTGTTATGCGATTGTCCCGCACTTTGTAGAAGAAGACAAAAGTTCATGGGTTCAGGATTCTTTGAGGACCTAACCGACATAGCCGAAGTAGGCATACGGCAACTTCTGGGTTTCGCAAAATCCACACGATGGTTTGAGTAGGAGGGTTCTAACGATCCGCGTGGTATCATAACGGGCCCACAACCTAGGGCCTATGTGTGCTAGTGGTGTCACTGGCAGCCACATCAACCTAACCTAACCTAACCTATCATACACGAAAATTAAAAAGAAAACAACTTATTGTTTCCAGTAAATCGGTGGATCTCAAAGTTTTTAACCGCAACTCGAAGAAGTTAATGGCAAACCAGCAGCGCGTAGATTTTTCCCCCAGCCCGGCGGCTCCTAGGACATTTGGCAAGCCTAGCCGTGAGGCTTATTTTTACCTTACTTATTTATGAACATATACAGTCAGCGTCAAATATATGAATACCCAGACGTTTCTTTATTTATATTTTCCATAACAAATTATTCTTCTTTTTTTATAAAAATATAGTTAGTTCAACAGCAAAAACCAGAAAAATCAATTTTATATATAACTCGTTAAAATTCAAGAACTACCAAAAAATTGTCATACAAATTTTCAACTTTTCAATTGCATTTCTTAGAAAAATTCTGGGTATGCAGTTTTGTAGCCTATTAAATTTTAATATAATAAGGAGCAAGTTTCAAGTTTAAAAATTATCGTTGATTTTTGAGTTTTTTTTTGTCGAGGGTGTTGCATTTTCTTCCATATAAAAATAAATTTTGTTCATGCGATGGAAAAAAATGCGAAACACCCTTGCCAAAAAAGTCTCAAAAATTAACGGTAATTTTTAAAGACTTGAAAGTTTAGCCTTATTTTATTTAAATGGAGTGGGCTACAAAACTGCGTACTCAATTCAAGAAATCGAATTGAAAAGTATAACATTTTGGTGGAAATTTTTTAGTATTTCTTGAATTTTTCCAAGTTCTATATGAAATAGAAAAAATCGGTTCTGTTGGTTTTTCTGTAGAAGGAATTATATTTTTATAACAAAATAAAAAAAATGGTATGGAAAATATAAAAGAAGAAAATCGTCAAAACGTCAAGATATTCATATTTTTGACGCGACTGTATATACTTCATAATAAATGAGTGATCTATAAAGGTTAACGCTAATCCCCGATTAAACATAGTTATCGACGTAACCGACTCCCTGTTGTATGCATGGAGTCGTAGACGTCGATAACGATGTTTAACCGCAGATTGGTGTTAACCAGACATTGAGTAACCGGCCCTGAGTGTAAAAACCAGCAAACAAATTTATTTACTGCCGTCAAACGCCGTTTTCTTAAATGGTAGGAAAGAAGCCATTTCGGTAGGTTTTTGAACCAGCTCTTGGTAGGAGAGAAAGTTTTTTATTGGTAACCCTGAATACTTTTCCAATTGGCTCAATCACGTGATCATGATTATTTTGAAGACAGTAAATCGGACAATGATTTGACGTATGCATACAATAATTTTGACGTCTTGTGCAAAAAAGAAGATAAATTCATAACAAAATAACTATAATAATTAAAGAGACGCTGGTGTGTATGTAAATTTGTCTCTTTTTTATATTTTAGTTTTTTACCTCAAATAACTCGTGCGAAATGCGTATTTCTGTAACTTATAATTCAACGTTCACGTTCGACATTTTGCTCAAAATGAATTGTCTTAACTATTGTCAAGACGCCTACGCCACGGAGACAATTATCAGCGTTTTTGACAACTAATACGTATTTTTTTATTGTCTGGACAGCATTGTCCAATGTAAACGCGCCGTAAAATTCTTGCTCTTATTTTCTAATTTACAGCTGTGTGCAGCCAAGGCGTGTTCAAGGCGCAAACAAAGTGGTGTTGATTGATCAGCTGATTGGATATTTTTGTCTCTACACTAGTACAGGAGAATGTCATCCAAGACGAAGTGGCGCACCTTTAGGATGTCAACTAAACGAAATTACGAAAATTATCTCCTATTCCCTTTCGTATTGGCATCCTCCTGTAC